AAAGGAAAAGGGGCATGTCTTCATGTGAGTTTTTTTTTTTTTTTTTTAAGTTGTCATTGCATCCCTTTTACATCCCATCTTATCTGCATAATCCTGCTGGGAGTGAATTGTGTGCTGATGGCTTCCCTGTGGACAATGTAAATCATGTTTACAACAAACTGTATAAACACCCTCACAACCTTATCTGCAACCACTCAGTGCCGTAAGCGATCTGCTTCCTTCACAGAGGCCTTCATTGCACAGACCTAAGCAGGACCTCAACAAGAGGACAGTGTTATTCTAACAAAGTTTTTTTTTTTTTTTTTAAAGAAAAAAAGTACCATGGCAACACAATGTTGTTTGCTATTTAAACTTAATTATTCCGTACAATGGCATACTTCTAATGGCATCACTGGACCATGGTACCAGCAAAGTGCTTTTTAGTAAAAGCTTTGTTGTATTTAGCTTATTTTTAGAATCTAGAGAGATATATTTTTATCATAGATAAATGTATGACTTTTCTGGTAATATCCTGTCAGTGCAATAGCCTGTTTGGCCATATAGCAGACAGTGCGTTGTTGTGCATTATAATCATTATCCAAAGTCATCATTACTGTTGCAGCTGCATGTTTTCAGATGTCAGGGAACAAAGAGGATCAATATCACAGTAACAAATTAAGTATTGTCAGCAATTGAATCTCGCTGGAAATAGGGCGTCACAATAAGCTCCAGCTGAGAGATCTAGCCTTCAGTATTCTTTATTAATTTAGATGGACAGTGGGCCCTTGGCTAATTGCCTAATGTGCAAATGAAGGCTTGATAGTAGCATGTAAATGGATTATGATTGATGGAGTTATTTGTTTATTGCACTAGAGGCAAAAGTGCTGGTTAATAATTTGACCTGATATTTGTCAAAATATAATTTGGGGTTCTTTGTGAAGAAATCAAACCCTTTCAATGTCCTTGTACTAAGCGATATGGCATTGTGTTGGTATGTTTGGGAGGGCGTGTACTTATTATTTCATACTATGTTATGCAAAATTGATTTGGATTTGAATTGAATGGATGACCTACTACATTCACCAAAATGAGGATACAACCAGAGCACACTTCATAGGATACTGTATCCCAGAATGCAATGCACTCAACTTTTACCGCTATCTACATGGATAGTCAATATCATCTCTGTTTCTTGATTTGCCATTAGATCAGATAGCGAAAATGACTCAGAATTGGAGTGTAATTGTCATATTTTGTTTCAATGACAGAATGTAAGCCGTGGTTTCAAACATGCCACGTAGTGAGATCATATGGCAACAATTCAGCATACTACAGTTGAAATGTTCAATGTTGCATGCTGTTTCAATTATTATTTAAAAAAATAGTACAGTATGTACTGCACAGTGTGTAGTAAGTGGTACGTTGGCTCAAGTATTCCATTCCAAGCTTGCCTTTACTAGATTGGCTGTGCCAGGAAGCCTTAACATCAACACTGCTCACCAGCATTTCTTTTTTGGTGGTCTCTAAATTGAGGTATGAATGGTTAGAGCTACTTGTGAAAATTTGAGTCCAATTATTGAAATGGTGAGCTTCCGCTGTATGAGATTATTGGAAAGATTTCGGACGATCCAAGCCAACCCTGCTCAATTCTGCGCCATTACCATCAGTAGTGTATCATTATGTTACTGAGTGCACTATTTTAGTGTAGCATTTGAGAAAATGACCAGTCTACGCAAATACACATGAGGTAGTGTACGGCTTTTTGTTGTTGTTGAAAGAAATTCCGATGAAATGGTCATGCCAACGGAACGTTTGGTGGTCAACACCCTCATTTGGGATCTGCGTGGTTGCAGTTCCCAGTGGATCTCTGTTTGCGGGTGAATTCTTGCTGCCATGTCTCTTGCCAGCCTCAGCAGCTGGAGAAGATTATGATGCATGTGTGATATGAATGCTTGTACTTGGTGAAGTGAAGCAAAATCCAACTAGAGGTTCTGATAAGCCATTTGCAGTGTCTTCCTCTTGGTGTGAGTGTGTTCACCCTTACAAATCCAGAATTAGGCTAATATTGAATAGCTCCAATTATGAGGAGCTATACGGTATCTTTTTTTATTAGTAAAGACACAACATTATTACTATTGCTCATATGTAGGGTTAAAGATTTGAACAAAGTTCTTAGAATGTAACTCGTCCTGCATCAGTTGTTTTGCAGATGCAAATCATAATCCAGTCTTGGTATTGGATATATATTGGCTTATATTAAATATTTAATTGTAGAT